TTTTGATTAGCTAATTACTATGTATCCTCGTTCTTTAATCAGGCTTTCTCTGGGCATATCTGTAGGGTAGGGATACCTGCGTGGTTGCGTGCGCGCACGTGCGTGTGTGTGTGTTTGTGTGTGTGTGTGTGTGTGTGTGTGTGTGTGTGTGTTTGTGTTTATGACCTTAGCTTTTTATTCTTGCATTATATGCAGCTAAGTTTTATTCAAATTAGTGAACATTATGAACGCCACAAAGAACTTTTTTAGAATTCCAAAATTTCTTCATTTCTTGGATAAGAGCCAAGTTTCCAAGTCATTTCAGGGCCATCATTACATCGTTGTTAATTTTGAGTTTTAAAAAACCAAAACCTCTATATGCTGTTTTGAAAGTTGCATTTCTGTTGCATTTACTTACAATGTTCTGGGTAGTCAAAGTAAGCCACCTACTGAATAATACCTGTTGGGGTTAATATAGATAATGACAAAGCTATTAAAATGGAAGTAGATTTTCAAGCCTTCTTATGGCATCTCCTTTTGCAGGCAGTTGGAGAAATTTGTGTTTTAATCATATTCTATTTTTTTAAGTAGTTCTTGTAATACTTGGTGGTATGTCAAAAAAAAGAGTGCCATATTTCTGTTTTAAAGAGTAAGTTAATGGTAAAATTGACGGGCACTCTGAAAAAGAGTATTATTTTTCTGTTCATTCTTTCTGAGAGGTAGCAGTTATTAGTGGAGTTGAGACTTCTGATTGTCACACTTAACTAGAACTTTGTGCCCATATTAAAAGCATGACTATCAAGCAGCGAATGCTAATGAAGAGCACATTAATAATTGCAATGGTAGGCTGCCTAGAAAACACCTGGAATACAGAGCAAGCAACTCTGCCCTCTGATAAAACTCATGTTTTATCCAATGTTTGTTTAACCAGCTTAGTATTAAAGTTCTTTACACTGGTTTTCTTCACTAGCTCTAAACTGCGAATAGCCTAATTTTGAGAAAATAAGTTATAGTAGTTCGGTATCTGTGCCTTAATAAAATATACGTATTTTATAATTGTGGACATGTCTTGCTGTTTCTCCGCCATCCTTGTCTAAGTCAGTACTGCATTCAGACCCCTAGGAGGGCCTTCAACTCATTCGTGGCAGCTCTCCAGGGAGGGTCATGCCTGGAGGAGTTAGTCTTGATTGTCTAATCCCTTAACAGTGTCATAGAGCCCTACAGAAATAAAACAGATGCACATCTGCCCACAGTGGCTCAAGACCGCTGCAATTAACTAAAAACAATAAATGACTTCCTAAATTCCCATCGCAGCCAAAAATCCATGCAGGCATCAATTTTTCCACAAATTCAATGGAAGCTTTAAAACCCAATTTTAAATGAAACAATATAGTTTCTGTAATGTCTCTCTAGAGAGATTTCATCTTGTCAAGGTTTGTCTTTCAAAGATACCCTCTCTGACTCCCACTTCACTCCATCCCGGTCCTTCTCCTCAAACAAATACAGTCTCCCTGCCTCCACATTTCAGGTCACCAATAAAGAGAAAGTGATGAACCAAGAATTATCTGGAGAGTTTCTTTCCTTGGTTAAATGTTGAAATGCTACCCTTTGAGGTATTGAATCTAGAGAATTAATTACGCACAGCTGAAAAGCGGGGAAGTTTCTGGTTCAGGAGACACATTGACACTTGATGCCCAGTTCATTATTAGGGTCTGCCACAGGAGACTGCACATCAGCCTTTCGTTAGGGAGATAGACTGGGAGGCACTCGGGCAGAATCTCTTGGTGGTGGTGTGAGGTTTTTCAGAGGAAAACACAGTTAAGTGAATGTCTTCTGTGGGACTGAACCTCTTCATCCCTCCTCAGGTTGATGACATATATTCTAGTGCAGAAGTAGTGGTCTTTGAAAACAACTTTGGGATTTCTTCTTTTGACTCGGTATTTGAGATGTGGGATATAAATGTAAAAATATTTTTCTTCAAAATATTTACAGGTTATTTCAGAAAGATGTTGCTTATAAGAGGAAGATATATTGTTATATCAGTGATTGGCTAAATCTGTTTTTACACTCTATTATAATGTTTTTGGATACTTAGAAGTATTTGCAAAATGGCTATTTCCATTAGAATGACAAAATTCTTCTGACTAAAAAACCATGTTTACAATGCATCTCCCTTTACCTGATATGTAAGAACAGGCCAACCTTGAGAATCCTAAAAACTTGAACCAAAGATCACCCCGTGAGATGGGGGTTAAAGGTGAGGCCTTGACCGGGACCAGACATATATCCAACGGTTGGTAAACAGAGGTGTTCTTGTGGCTCACTGGCATTGCTCCCACCTTGGCACGTATGGAGACGTGATACCAACAGTGGCTTCTGAGGCACTTTGAAAGGAACTAACACCTACTCAGTGAGACAGGGCTTCCTATGAAGCACTGATGTCCTTAAACATTACTTAAGAAACCAAACTTAGGTTATAGATTATTATAAGGGTTTCAGAAATTTGTATGTGCCAAAGTTCAAAGAAATAAGTTCCTGAGGTAAAAAGAAAAACACCATATTCTTTGTACCTCTTTCCTAGTCTGTTCTTTGTTTTCGTTCATGTGAAACTGGGTGAAGGATGAATTGCATGTATTTATCTATCTTAGACTACTGGAGATGGAGTACTTCTCCCAGTAATAGGGGAACATGATGAACATAGAAATTGTTATGAGAGAGAAGAAAAACAGTCATCACTATAGGTATAGTTATTGTCAGTGTAAAATGTGTGAATGGAGTATATTTGCATGGGGCAGGTAGAATTTTCAGAATATTTTATACTGAAAGTGAAATTTCCAGTGGCATATGGACTCTTTAGGGAGTGTTAAAGCAGGTAACAAGACAGGAAGGGCTTTTAAAGGTTCCACTTCAAAATGGGTTTGGGGTGAATATAAGCCAAACGAAGCCTCCTTACAGAGCTGCAGACAATAGTCAACCACTTACAGAGAGCTCTTCTGCAGATGGTCGTATCTAAACTTGGGAAGCCTGGCAAACTCAAACGTTAGTTGCGAAAAATCAAAATAGGTTCCACATGCCTCATTCCCAAAATTAATTTCTCAAACCCCGCTCACATCCACACACCCAAAACAAGACCAGAGCCAGTATCCTAGGACACCTGGCCTGTCGTGAGCCTTGCCGGGGAGGGAGAAAAACACTGCATTTTCCTCCAAAAGGAGTAATCAAAGTGTGAAGGGAGGAAATGAGGAAAAGTGGCCTCCTCACCCACGCCAAACACACACACTTCTCTCTGTCTCTCTGTCTGTCTCTCTCTCTCTGTCTCTCTCTCTCTGTCTCTCTCTCTGTCTCTCTCTCTCTCTCTCTCTTCTCTCTCTCTCTCTCTCTCTCAATCTCTCTCTTTCAGGCCTGTGATCTGTTTGTAACGGTTAAGGTGGAGCAGACAGACAAAATTAATTACATAAATAATTTCATTTAATGGCCACACATAATGCTAGCTATGACATTTTATATATTTGTTGAATTTTGAAGAGACACTTTTCTGGAATAATTCACGCACCTTGCCAAATCTGTTCTTAGGGAAAATTGTAGAATATTTTGTAATTGATTTTGGAGTCCATGGCTGGTAAGGTGGTAGAATTCATATTTTGGTTTCCACAATTCAGGACTTACCAAGCCTTTATCAGTGCTTTCCTCAGTAGGCTAACTCAGGGTCTCGCATAGTCGCATAAAATTCCTTTTGTTTCAGTAAGCAGTCGTGCAGTTTCTAATCTTTATGGCTGAGTCACTGCTGCAAAGCCTAAACTTGCCAGACCTCTCTCCTTACCACTACCACCAAATGCTGAAGACAGGGTAAAATGGGGGCAAAATCAACACATTGGCCCTCAGGCTGAGGCTGTCCTTTTTGTGAAGTCACGTGTATCAGTGGTCACTACCCACTGACAAGCCAGAAACATGACTTTGCCTGTGGGAGGTATGAAGAGATTTTTGCTTTTGTCTTTTTCTTTCTCCTGTTTGCAAAAAGTACATTGCCAGCTTCCCAGAAAGGCGTTCAGACATTCACAAAAACAGTGTGTAAATATACTGTGATTATTGCTTTATGTTCGAATAGAAGTAATGAATGCAAATGCATTTCAAAATAAATGTGAAATGCCATAGCTCAGTATCATAACCCAGAGACTCTAATATAGGTTTTAGTGCCTTGCTTATCTACAGCTGTCAGTGCAGTTTTTCTTACCAGGCTTTAAACACGTGGTGATCTGGTTAAGATTCTGACTGAAAGCCACAAATTAAGGGACAGTGCTTCGGCTTCCTTCTTTTATAAGGATGACACAGAGAGAAAAGCTTACGTCCCAGGGACCAGATGGCAGGTCATGTAAGAATAAACTGTTGTTTCTGTGTGAAAGACATGCTGAAAATCTAAACAGGAGAATAAACACTGCACGGTACATTGGCTCATCATTCTGTAGCATATGATGTTACTTTACCTTTCTTAATCATTTATTTTTCTTGACTGAATCTTGGGAAATTATTCAAATTAAATCTTTCAAAAGGACAAGGAATTCACATTTGTCAGGGAAGAATATAATTCCTGCCATGCTTCCTTCACAAGATTCTTTCAAGGATCAAAATAGGAGTATGGAATCACTTTAAAATGATAGAGAATTTCCTCGATGTACACACAGCATTTCTGAAGAATAGACAAGGGCAGGTACTTTTACTTTTATACTGTAAGATAAGTTGACACTCAAGAAAATAGAATGAATTCTTAGGATTTTAGCGGGTGTCCACAGAAGAACTAAGACTATTAAATACTGTCTTATCAGCCCTGAGTGTAATATTTGGACAAATATAAATTTTCTTCTGTAACTATTTAGCCACCTGGATAACTTAAGTTTGAATATATTGGAGTTGCACCTGTAGAAAAAGTGGGAGTTGAAGGAATTGGGAAGAGAACGAATGGCTGGCAGAGCAGTAATAAAATTGTTTTTTCCACTTTGGTTGCCCCCTGACTTCCTAGAGGTTAGGAAGAACACTTTCCTTCTGCAGAGAGGGAATCTGGATCCAAAACTCTCTCACCTAAAATCAGAAGGCATCATCAACAAAAAGAGTAAAAGACAACCACAGGTGACGTGAATTTATGGTATCTCGGTGAAATTTGGAGTTGGAAGATAGAGTGGTGAGCCTAGTAACTAACTGGAATTTTTCCAAAGCAAAAATCAGGTGCTATTTTATTGTTCACATGGTCATCTTAATGAGCTCCTTGAAAGCAGATAGTGAGCTGTCTTTGTGAGCTACAGGCCCGTTAAGATGTGGAAAGACTGCTGTCCTTAGGCAAACATTTTTAGTAAAGACCCAGAGAGTGATTCATTGACAGAACCTGCAGCAAATGACTTGCTTCCTTGTACTCTTGGATTTTTAAAAGCTGTCATAACTCTTACCTGTCCTTTTTTTGTTCCCTTCTTTCTGTTATGTAACCACAGAACATTTTTACTCACTTAGAGATGGTTTATCTTTTTAAAGCACATAACTGATTGTATCTCCTGCATTATGTTTAGTTTTCTTTTTAAATCATCTGGAGCAAAAATTTTATCCCAATTTGGTTTGGTGCCATCTAGCACAATTCTGGGCCTCATACCTCATCCTTCATTGATTCATTGCCTGGTAAAGCTTTTCTGCACTGCCTGAAAAAGAAACCATTAGAAAAGTGTATCAGCTGCTATAGGTTATGCCTGTATGTGAAAATTACATCAAACAGTCCACAATATTTTAAATATTGAATTACTTATCTTTTAAGATTTTATATAATTTGTATAGTTGATTGAAAAATTTGGGTATTAAAAGTCAATGGTTTTGTTTAATAAATGCTAGAATGAAGAAAACAAGTTAGCAACTAAAATGTCCATCAACAGATGATTGGATAAAGAAGTTATGGTTCATATATACAATGGAATGTTACTCGGCCATAAGAAAAAATGAATGAAATCCTACCATTTTCAACGTTGTGGATGGACCTAGAGGTTATAGTGCTGAGCTAAATAAGTCAGACAGAGAAAGATAAATACCACATGATTTCACTTATATGTGGAATCTAAGGAACAAAAGGAACAAACTAAACGAAAACAGCACGATACAGAGGATAGTAATGGTGTCTGCAAGAGGGGAGGAGGGTTGGGAGGCTGGGAGAAAAAGGTGAAGGGATGAAGCATAAATCAGTAGTTACAAAATAGTACAGCATAGGGAATATAGTCAATAGTATTGTAATGGCTATGTGTAGAGCCAATATAGGTGCTAGAGTAATCGAGGGAATCACTTCATAAACTATATAAATGTTTAACCAATGTACTGTATACCTGAAACTAACAAAATAAATTTTAAAAAATAATAAAAATAAATAATTAACTAAAGTTACTAAGTCATAAAATGACAGTATATCATTTAGATTGATGGAGGTAACATCTAAGAAAAAGAGGGTAAGTTTTTAAAAAGGCAAGGACAAGAGGTTGTTATTTATTTTAATTTTTTCTGTTCTATTTTTTTTTACCATTTTATATTAATAAAATAAAAATTGATGTTAAAAAAACAGAAGTTATTAACCAACAAATAAACAGCCTATGATAATATAGAAAAGCAGTAATTATGGTCACATTATGAGATGCCAGTACAATGATTTTTTTCAGGTCTTCCGTGAAGAGAATTTAGAGATGAGGGTGTTTTCAAAGATAGATTAATGGATAGTTATAAATAAATAAAATTTTCTTTTAACACTATAAGTAGAAAGCCAATTTTTGTTGCTTTGTTTAGACTTAATAAGGACCCTGAACACAGCTATTCCATAAATACATAGATTTTTGTGTAAAACCTGTAAATCTATGAAACCATAGACTTTTTTCTGTCATATATAGTCATGCTTAAAAATATTATCTCTAAATACCATTTGCCACCGAAAGGACTAAAGAACCCTTGGAGAAATAAATGACTAGTTTTCAGTCTAAAGCAAGAAATGTACAAGCTGAACCTGGAACACTTTGTCATACCAGAAAGCAAGGGCATTGTTGAAGACCAGGACCTTGTCAAAAGAACTCAGAGCCCATCTTAAGTGAGCTCTCTGCAAGCTTATATCAATAAGGATATAAATTGCAGTGGATTGAGTTCATAATTATACTTTAAAAATAAAACTCTGTTGGTCATGTTTGGAAAATATTAGGGAACTACCTCTTTAGTTTGAAAACTGCTGAAAATCAGGCATCTATCCTGCCTGCCTTAAATGATTGGTGCCTCAGAAGGGAAAATTTCTCTTTATAGAATTATCCCAGCTAACAAATCAAGAACAAATAATAGAATACCACTTTGAAGTCTCTAAAGAATTGTCAGATCTAGGCAAATACCACCAAAGACTTACAAATGGCAAAAGGAGTCAATCAAATATATCGTGCCTCCTGGTGGATGTTTACCACATGAAGTGGCCTTGCCCGCCACCCACAATTAGAACTTGATTGGATCAAGCCTCTAGCTTGAATTACCAGTGCGTGGGAATACAAGGGACAGAGGAATATGTTAAATCACACCAATGGGATGCAGTGAGGAAAATCCAGACTGTGGAAACTACAAGATAACCCAGTTCCTTTAACAATAACACAAAAATTGCGAGGGAAATTTTAGAAATGGAGAAGGAACCAAGATAAAATAAACTTAAAAGTACATATGAACCTTATTTGAATCCAGATTCAAACAAACTGAAACAAAATTATAAAACATTATATATTTGATGATATTAAGAAATTGTTTTTATTTTTAGGTGTGGTAATACTTTTATAGTTTTTTTTCTGTCCTTTTAGAGACATACTGAAATACAGGTGAAATGATGTGATGCTTGGCATTTACTTCAAAATAATCTGGCTGGGGGCAGGGAGTGTTTGTTGATGAATGTATAAAAATGAAACAAGATTGTCCAAGTATTGATAAGCATTGAAGCCAAGGAGTAAACACAACCGATTTGTTGTTTTCTTCTCTCTCATTTTGCATGTATCAGAAAATTTCCAAAATGAAAGTATACACACACACACACACACACACACACACACACATATATCCATACATATGCACGGTGATGTATATACCATGTACATGATATATGGTATGATATATATACCATACATGGTGATGATAGAGTGGAGTGAAGGGGAGGGTGGTAGAGGAAGATATCAAGGAGTGGAATACATGAGGCTTTTCTCATAGAGCTTGGTGAGGTGAGCAGCCATTGGAGGGTTTTGAACTAAGGAGGAAAGGATCTGATTTGTGCCGATAGGATCACTGTTCCTCTTGTGTTGAGACCAGGGGGTGGGGGCGAGGATGCAAGATGGGCGAGCATGAAGAGACCAGGTGAGAACTGATGGAAGTTTGGATCAGGGTAGCAGCCTCTGAAAATACTTTGTGAAAGTAAAGCAAATAAGATTTGCTGATGGATTGGACATAGTGGTGAGGGAAATTAAAGAGACAAAAATAATAGTGTTTTAGCCTGAGTAACTGGATACAGTGGAGCTGCCATTTACATATCCAAAGCTGAACAGATCGCTGTTTGCAAGCAATGAAAGTTCTGTGAAATCATGTGAAATCATGTATATAGCTAAAAGATTACTCTAGTGTGCACTGTTAGAGACCCGATAATGTGTTAAAACCACACATAGACTTAAAGACAAAAGTGAGACTAAATTGCAGGATAAATTAGGAATTCAGAAACTGAAGAACATTTGAGCCCAGTTGAGGGAGGTGTGAAATGATACTGCGTGAACAATGTATGAAATTTAATCATATCATGGCAAATGTGTAGAACAGAAAGAGAAAAGAAGGAGGGCTTACACAAGAGGACTTTTTAAAAAATCCTGAGTTCTGCCTGGGATCCTGACTTTGAATAGGTGTCTTTTGTTTCTGAGATAATTTTTTCCCTGTAGGTCAATAAACTTGTTTGTTTGTTTTCTAGCTGGGGAATGGCAGTCAATGTGTATTCTACCTCGATAACCCAAGAGACTATGAGCAGACATGACATCATTGCATGGGTTAATGACATAGTATCTTTAAACTACACGAAAGTGGAACAGCTTTGTTCAGGTAAGAGATTATCTTTTAAGTATTTACCTAAATGTTTACTGTCTACTTTGTGGAATGTGATTTTATGAAGCACAGATGGTATATTTGGGGTAGGAAAAAATATGTATCAGTATCAATATATAATTAAAGGGGGAAAACTCAGGTATAACTAAAGAATTATGGGGGGAATCTTTATGAGCATCTAAGAGCATAGAGCCATCTTGACGCGTATTATGAACAGCCTCGCTTGAGCTCTCGAGCTCTGTAATGCCTCCTAACAGGTCTTCCAGGCTCTACTCTATCATCCCTCTATCAGCCACCATACCTCTCTTGCTAAAATACAGATTGTGTCTTTTAACTCTTATCCTTAAACCTTCAGGGCTCCACATTGTTCTTTCTATAGGATAAAATTCAAACTCTTCTACATCTCTAGTAAGGTCATTTCTGTTCTAGCTCCAACCCATCTCCTCAAATTCATTGTCCTCATCACTCTCCTCTGTATCTCAGCCCCATAAAACACTCGTTGTTCCTTCCCTTTTGCATCCCATAGCTTTTGCCATGCCCTCTTTGCTGTGAAGGGCTTTCTTTTTCATTTATGGTAAAGCCCCATTGACACTTCAAAATCTGACTCAGTTGTTGCTCCTTCTGTAAAGGGTTCCCCAGCCTCCCAGAATCTTTTTTCCCCAAAACACTGTGCCCACCCTTGCGGAATAAGTTGCAACACTGCGTTAGAAGGTCTAACTCCCCTGAAGTCACCAAGCGTCCTTGAAGACAGGACTGTATTTATTTTTAAATGCCTGCGATGACACCATGCTTGGTATAAAGTAGGTCGTAAGGAATGCATATTGAGTTAAACTTGTTTAAAAAGTAGAAAGTTTCAACTTGTATGATAAAGTAGAGACATGTTATAAAAATGTGCCACTAGTAAAGTAATTCATTCATAGGTTAGTGTATTTATCAAAGAAATAAATAGTCTTCCTTTGAAAACAGGAAGTGTTTTCTTCTTGTGAACTAATAGGTAAGAGATTTCCTCTTTGGCTCTCACATGAAAATGTGTTAGAAAATAGAAAATATTACTGAAATGTATTCAAGTGAATTTCCATGAGGCATAATAGATACAAAGGAATCATCAGGCTTATCCTGTGCAGTGGTTTTAGGTGTTCTGCTGTCTTTCCCAGTGAGTTACATGTAAGAAGATTTCAGGAGTGCACTCAGAATTTGGAAAGCCCCCAGCAGTCACTCTCGGATATGCCTGACTGCAGTGCCCACCAGTAAATGAATATACTCTCCCTTTGCCAGGTCTGGATTTGATCAGAGTAGACTCAAGAACTAACTTGCAACACCATTGACCCCTCTTCTCTCATGATCATTTTTCCCATGAGGAAAGACAGTGAGGTTGGCCAGAACGTAGGCATTGCCTCACCTACCCTCTCTGTGCCCAGGCCTCGAACATGAAATCCTCTGGTTTGTGAGGTCAGTAGTGGGTGCTAACTAATCAGTTCTTTGCTCTTCATTACAAGCTAGAGAAAAGCTGATAAACTATGATGATATAAATTGTGAGGTCTACATTGTTGGCCTACTGGAATGGCTTTAACAGTTAGTGTCAGAAACAACCCTTGTTGCAGCTTATTCAACTTCAAATCTCCACTCAATCAAATTTTAATTGTGCTGTTCTTGCTGTGTGTTCTGGAGCTTTCTAATATTTTATTTTTAATTTGCTCCCAAAAAAACCCTAAAAACAAGTTTCTCTGTTAATTAGCAATCCCTTTGTTAATAGCACATACCACTTTGTATTGTAGTTAATGTATATCTTAACCACAAAGTGGATGTATGTACATGTGGATAAGGAGGATGGGTTTGGTTGTCAAGAAAAAGAGACACTGGATGGAAGAGGCTAAGGAAAAGAGTCATAGGAAAAATTCCCAGTCACGGTTCTTAAAAGCTAAAGGAATCTGTGGAGATTCCTATGCAATACACTTGAAGAGTTTTTGCTAGCAAACAAAATGAGAGCAGATCAGAGGGTTTTTTAGATACAGTAATAAATTTTTATGAGTAATATACATAATTCCTTTGCATATCTTTCAAATTTCTCACAAAATTTTAAGCAGCATTTGAAAAGGATTCTTGTGCATTGGTGTGCCTTTTGCAACCATTCATAGCTGCATCACTCTCAAGTGTGGCATGATGACACCTCTGAAAAAATTTTGATCACTGCCGAACAGATCATTTCCATTAGGATAACTCACTGACTATCTAAGGTTATGAGGTGGATAGTTCAGAAGAATAAAGGTTAGATTCCTTTCTGCTCTGAAACACATATTTTGGCTGGGATAAAAAACATGTTAATCTCCATAGTAGAGAGGGGGTCTTTTATTTTAGGCAAAGGTTTCTTCAAAGTATAAACTGTGGACCATATGCATTTATAATCTCCTGGAGAGCTGCTTGAAAATGCAGATTCTAAGGCTCCTTGACCTTTTAAATCAATTTCAGGGGTATAAAGCCCAAAATCTGCATAACAAGCACCCCAGCTGTTTTTTTTTGCTGCTGCCAGGTTTGCAGTACATTTTCAAGAAACCCCAAACCACTAAAAGTATAGTTAAATTATCCAAAAACCTATCTGGCACAGTTTCCTTATGCATAATTTAGTCTGCAACTTTTCTCTTGTCTTTAGCAGTGACATTTAGCCGGGGAATGCTATCTTTCTGTTTATTTATTTATGAATTTATTGTTCCAGAAGGCATTTAAGGCAGCCAGGACAGTGCTGTTAGAATAAGAACAAAACTGAACATTGTTGTCCTAAGTGAAGTACCCTCATTATACTTATAAGTAGTCAAATTTCTTGGATAATATTTTTTCTTCAACTTTCATTTTAATCCCTTTAGATTAAAATGTGTATAATTTTATTTTAGTAGTATGCTGTGGAAAAACATACACAAAATATCTTCGCATAATTAAACTTATTTTCTTGTTCAGTAAAATTATTTCTTACTCTCTTTCCTAAAGACTTATGCTCTCATCCTGGCAGTCCCCTTTTGGCATTTCTTCCCCCCCTCCCCCCCATTTGCATTATTTCCTTTTCTTTTTTTATTTCCAGCTAAGAGATCTCCCTCTAGCTAATATTAAAACTAATTCAGCTTGTATTTAGCTCATAAAAAGCTGAAATACTGTTTGACATTTGCGTTCCATTTTCTTCAGGATTTTCTGCCTTTATATAACATCTCATTTGTTTTTATGTGAGCATTTTAAAAGCTCTTTAAGGCAAAAATGGTGTGAGAAGGTATAACACTTGGAAATACATTGCAGTAAATTATAAAACAATGAAATGACTCACTCTTAACTCCTTTCATTTTATTCCAAGGATGTAACCTTATGAAAATTTTCTTTGAATAGTAAATGTGGGTCATGTAATCATGTGTGTATTTGGTTTGCATTCATTTCATTTCTTGTGAAAAGCAAATTCAAACAAGAAAAAATGGGCTGTGTAAATGGAGAGCTGGTTATCAATGGATCTGAATACTATCTTATAATACGACAGTATGACAGTATACTGCTTACCTAAATCTCTTTTGAAAATGAATAATATTTGTAGATTTCCCATAGTGGAATGGGGAGGTTGAACCACATAAACTATCAGATTGGTTCTGCTTAAAAATATTTTATATTTTAGTTCGATTGTTTATAAAATTTTCAGGGCTTTTTGCAGAGCGAGGAGATGTTTTGTGTTTACTTTAGTACCAGCTCAAACCAGTTTCCTAGGTATTTTATAAGATATTCAAGAGGGGGAATGGGCAGCTAGGTGGTAAAAATCCCTAAATTCAGGTTAAGTAAGTTGAAATACTGTTTTGGACATGATAGAAAAGATAGTGGGTTATGTGAAGAGAAAGAACAAAAAGAAATAGAGTAAGAAAAGTATGATGGGAATAGAAGAAAAGTATCACTCCCTTTTCTTCTTCACCCCTCATCCCTGCCCCAACATAGCAAATCTCCTTTGAAACTTTTCCCGATTTCGATTTTTCTGGGTCCCAGCCCTCTCTCTTAGGCTGGGATCTAAACAGCAGAGTCATTGGGCCCACTGCTTGGTCACTGCAAGCACTTGGCCAGCTGAGCACCTAACCGCCATACCTCAAAAGGCAACTGCAGCCTCTCTCTTTCCCACTCACTCCACAGGCCAAGCAAATAGCTGACTTACAGATGCTGAGATAAAATCTATGTGTCACGTACGCGCTATGCTGATCAACAGCTCAGTTGTTTTCCTGAGCATTTTAGTATTTTAATGAAATGTCATTCAAATTAAACCATTTTTTTAGATGGAAAGTTTAGATATTTTGTTGACTCTCTTTTTAAAAACAAACAAAAAAAAAGACAAAATGGTCAGGATCTGATTCCATTTCAATTTGTGCTTTTCAAAATTGTTTCAAGCTTTGTGTTAGATCAAGTTTCTGGTATTTTCTTCTTCCAGGAAAACTTCTGAATCTGGCTGATCATATGGTAGTCATTGTAGTCACGTTTACAATTGTGGGTCCTTGATGGCTCCCTGAAAGGGTCTAGGCTTTACAGTAATTAAGGTCCATAAAGGTGTGGCTGTCAGCCTTACTGGGGACCTGTAGTTACAAGGGCACTGAGCCCAGCAGAGCAGTCTCGTCACCATTTTTTATTGCAATATGGGCCTGTTAAATAGGCCACTCCCATCCTAGTGTGCTGTCCTTATGCCTTCTTTTTTCTGTCTGCAGAGACCTCTGTCAGGAGGGCAGGTTAGTGATGAAATCAGCTCAGTCTAAATTTAGTAGACCTTCTCTTGTTGGCTCTCTTGAACTGAAACCAAGTAAGGATATTTCATCAGTATCTGTTAAGCTCAAGAGCTTACGTACTAAGCTTTATAAAATCATAGACTGTTATTTGCTGTAAAAAAAAATTCAGTCATCTTGGATTGTGTTACTGTTGTTAGAGATGTAATTGTATTATAATAGAATATTTGTTTGTGATGTATTATGGAGAGAGTGTTTTTTTGTTTCTTGCTGACA